GCGCTCTTCGCGACGGCCTTGTAGTGCTTTGGGAGAAGAACCAAAACCTTTGTGTCAGGCAACGAATACGAAGCTATATAACAAAATACAATGCCTGGTCAAGTCCTTGCTGGAAGGCGGTGAATCAGGGTATGAGTTTTGAAGAGTATTGGTATAGGCGCAAATCCAAACTAATATTGAACTAAAGAATAATACATCGAGTATGTACTTCTTTATATAGTGAATGGCAAGGGTCAGACCGAGAAAAGGAAGAATTAAGAAAGTGGTCTGACCAACTGACTAACCAATAGGAAAAGAAGGAGAAAGTGGTCCGATCTATCGTATTTATTAATCGTATGAGAAAAAGTATTGGTAAGGGGTGTGCAATTGGCTGTATCAGTAAGCCCATGAGAAGGCGCTGACTCACAACCTTCTTCGCTTATCAATATCCCTCCGAAGTATTCCCAGACATAGCACTGGATTGTTGCTATGTCATTTGGATATCTTCTCGAGGGTCTGCAACAAGTCTCCTTCGTTGTAAGTACGATAGGACGTGAGTGTGAATAGAGAATAAGAAGAAAAAGGATAAAAGTAATAAGATACCGGCTGTGATCTCTAGTCCAAGGGCAAGAGGAGTGACAGGGATCGAGTCTGTTAACCACGACATGACGGGAATGCGATAAGAAAAATTGATTCCTCACACTTTGATACGCGGCCCCCAGCATTAAGGGGAGTACTTAGCTCAGCAGTTGGTGTGGAACCGCTGTTGATCAGCATCTGCTACTTTGCCACCACATATCATCCGCGACATCAAGAAAAAGCTTCATATGGAATCCAACAACATTGTAACCATTCATCGCCGCAATGACAGACCAAATATCCACATTATGGTCACAAAAATGGTGTATCCAATCAAAACTAAATATGATCTAATTCGTGCACTGGGGATTGACCATGGAACTCAAGCCCCATCATTTATGATTTTTGACAACACTAGGAACCAGACAGAGCACTGATGTAAGGTCATATAATCAGTCTTGCCATCTGAACACCAAGACAAAGTTGTCTGGTTCCATACAGGGATGAGCGATCAGTTTCGTAGAGACACGATAGAACAGCTATGCACGAGGGACTTGTGTAGCATCTGTTGTACAGATGCTGCAGGTATGGTGCGTCAGCTATCAAATATTTTTGTACTTGTATCCAAAGACAAGTAGGGTCTAGACTTACACAGCATTAAGCTTGTGATACAATGGGGGGTATACAAAATCTCTGTGTTCACTCTTACAACGCTTTTGGGTGTGCTGCACGCAATGTGAACATTGAAGCAACTGCAATTTATTTTGTTGAACCACGGCACTTTGATAGCCATAAATGATCATCCCAGAGAAAAAATATGGAGGATCAGCAAAAGCTAGCACAAAGCGGCATAAACTCCACCATGAAGATGATGAAGTCCGTCGAACAAAGAGCT